TTAATAAAATAAAAAAAATTATATATATATGGCTCCTAGCCACAGCAAAATAATAAAATTCCAAATTAATTAATGACTTCTAACCATTTAATAAGAAAAAAATCAAATTATATGACTTCTGGCCATAATCTGAAAAACCAACCTAAATGACTTTTAGTTATTTAATAAGATAAAATATCGAATATATATGGCTTCAAGTTATTTAATAAAATAGAGAATTAAATATATATATAGTTTCTGACCAAAAGATAAAAAGTCAAAATTGTATACTTCTGGCCATAATATAAAATCAAAATTATATACTACCTCCGATCCTTAATATAAGACCCTGTTTGACTTTTATTTTGATCATAAATATAAAACCCTAATCCACTTTGTCTCTCATATTTACCCAATTTTTTTCAAGATAATTCTTATATAATTATAGTTCTAGTTAATACACTTGATTAGCAAATATATTTTAGGAAAGACAACACCTATTTAGAACAAATAACTAACTCAGCTTACTTTCTTAATTTTCTCAAATAGTCAACTGGCTCTTATCATTAAGACTGGAGGTAGTAGCTTCTAGCCATTTAATTTGAAAATAATGGAAAATTAGATTCATATGCTTTCTGGCCATTTAATCTCAATGAGATGAGAAATTAAAACTTATATGGTTTCTGGCCATTTAATTTTAGATAGTAACTTTTTAAGGATACTGCTAGTATCTATTGAAATTTCAGGTTCCATTAAAATATTGACGTTAGGTCAATAAGGAATAGAGGGGGGAAAAATCCTCTTATCACAGTTAGTTCGGAAGGTATAATATCAATATCAAAATTAAATTGTAGCGCTAAAATGTAAAGTGCAATCTCCAATTTTAGTTATGAAACCTGATATACAAAATAATAGTAAAAGATCTTTTCAATTCCATATAATGACTCGGATTATCTTAGAAGATCAATTACACATACAAATATTTCGAAACACCATATATATAACGTTCGAGATATTTTCATTTGTATAGAACAAACGATACTTAAGGGAAAAAAATCATAGAGGTGATAATCTAAAGTCATGCCAAGAATTAAAGGTATATTCATATGTATCTTGGTTAGAGTTTTTGTACTGATAACGTATTATATAAAAAGAAGAAACATAGAGAAGAGTCATACAGAGAAAGAGAGGATCAACAAGAGAAAGTATTTCTTATTCCATTCAAGAGTGCTCAATACATTATACATCGCTTCTACTTATAGGCACATCTTTATAATTTGATAGAATCTACGATTATATAATAATAAGAGATAATTATGGGATATAGAAATAATAAGAGATATTAAAGATATTAGGAGGTATAAGAGATAATAGGAGATATATAGACATCTATAAAAACATTATGATATTAAAAAAACAAAATTGATAAAAATAATGAATATTTTAAAACGCTAAAGTTGATAAATATTTGATAAAACAAAAATCATATATATGGTGGGGTGTGATGAACGCCCTAAAAGTAACTAACGCCACCTCGATAGGAGATTTCACGATCACGTCATTATCAATAGAGGGAAATTACTTAAACCTTACAAAGCCAGCTGGATCAAAAAAGGCCACTTTTTAGCTAAAATTTGTTTCATAGCTAATTATAGATATCCAATCCACTTTTTTTTTTAATTTTATTTATTTATTATGCTTAGCGGATCCACCACTCTCTCTCTCTCTTTTTTTTTTTTTGCCGGCACTCCACTCATTCAAGACCTATGTGGGATTCTTCCTATAATTGGAAATATTTAAATAGTCCTGTAGGCTGTATATACCCAAATTAATTATCAACCCAAAATCATAATTATGATATATATAAGTAAAAAATCTGATTACAAAATTGATTTATAAAATTGAAAATAGAATTAAATAGCCGGTAATAATAGCTTATAAGGCAACTATAATTTTGAATTCATAACCGATCTAAATACACCCTCAGTACTAAATGTTTTTTTGGTTAAAAATTGATTTATCAATAAACAATTTAAAAATCTGATGATAATTTATAATTTAAGCAAAAAATATTTGAGATATAATTTTCTCCCGTTAATTAAAACACATGCCAAAAAGGAGGATTTGAATTGCTTTTGGCAACAAAAAAATTTTGTTGCTTTTTTTGGTCGGGAATCTAAGTTTATATTTATTTTAGAGAAAACCATTTTGCATATATATTTATGCTTTTTTGAATTCTAATTTGAAATTTATATGTTTTCTTTCACAATTATATTTTTATTCAGTTAGGATTAGAACTTTTAATTTTAGACTATTAACACCGCTAATTATTATATAGTGGCTAAAAATGCAAACACAGAAGAAAAAAAAGAAAAGAAAAAGAAAAGAAAAAGAAAAATTGCTTTGAGGTCCTGAAAAAAAATAACTACAAAATTTTTTTTAATCTCTCATTTTCTATATTGAAACCTTTTCAGTAATTATAGCCATTCTTGAAAATTAGAAATTAGAAAAAGGGTATATATGACTCAAAATTGTTTTCTCTCTGTGTCATTATAATTTTTTTCCTCCCAATCTCGCAATATTGTGGCCAAAGAAATCTTGAACACGTAACTTGCTTTCGTCAAAAAAAAGAATACGTAATTTGCTGTATGGACAAAAATTGACAGGTCATGCGGGAAAGTGATTTTCTCCGTTTTCTTGGCGGAAGATTCTCTCCTCTTCTGCAATTTTTCAAGACCAGTCACGCGAAGCTCACTCTGTCACTCCCCACTTCTCACTCCTCACAGCTATTGGAAGAGAGTGGTCTCTCCTCGAAGCTCGCGCTCCTCCATCGTCGCAGCCAAACGGCCATACGCTCACACTGTTGGTTCGCTTTTCCTTTCATTCCTGATCCTCTTTTACCTATTTTCCTTCCTCTTTACCCGCTTCCTTTATCTTCTCGATCTTTTTCTTCTTTGACGGCGAAGATCTTTTCCTTTTATAGGTTTGCCCCATTTTTCACCAGCTTCGTCGTGGTTTTTTGTTTTTCTAAACTCATTTCTCAAATTTGTTTTCGGTGCATTCTGCATCTGCACGTGCCTTTACATTTTTTGTTTTTTTTCATTCGTTGTTATTTGCCTTTTTATTTTTTTGTGTTTGCTGTCTAGATCTTTGCAAGTTCGTTCTGAAATCTGCTGAAGATGGCCAAAGCTGGCGCGTTGGATCTGGCGTCTGGTGTCGGAGGAAAGATTGAGAAAGCCGAAGTTCTGTCTGCTGTTGACAAGTATATATTATATCCACTATTTTCTTTCTGATTTGAAACTTGGAGTCTCTGTTTCGCTTCTTACAATGACGGTTCTTCGTTTTTATGTAACGATGTTTTTAATTTGTATCTTCATGGGGAGTCTTGGTTCTCTCTCTGATTTCCAGTGTAGATTCGACTTCAATCTCGTCTTATATTCATGAAAACAATAGTCCAGGGAAAAAAATTGTGGCAATTGTATTATATTTTATTATCTCAGAAATGTAGAATGTGCGGAGCTCTTCCTATTATGCTGGTCCTGATGCTATATGTTTATCATTGATGCGTAATGCCTTGATTGGACTAGTGGAAAACGACTGGTTGTCAGCCTCTGTATCTTGTTCAATGCATTAATGTTACATGCCTGACGATTCCTCTTGTGGAATTAATGTCTTACTCTTCTTCTTCTTTTTTTCCCCTCCCCATCTGAGCCGAATGTCGAATGGTATGCCTCAGCAAACTTCTCTTATACCCCATGACTACTGAATGTGATACTTACTGGGAACTCAACTGAGATTGAGAATTCTTACTGTGATACTTACTGAATGTGATGCTTACTGTGACACTATATATAGGTAGGTTTCATTACTCCAAACCTATTTTAATGAATTTTTGTGCTCCTCGCGTAATAGTTTACCGAACTTTTTCCTTCACGCGGCTACACCTGCTAGTCAATGGGTTTTTGGGGTTACGCTTAGGCAAGCCACTGGAGAAATTGGGAACTACGTAGTAGAAGAAATTGGGTGATTTAGCCCTAGTTAGTTTGAATAGTGGTTCCAAAATTCCACTCTGTGAGATTGAATTAGCACTGACTATCGAAGTAGAAGTTTGACTCATCTGAAAAAGGATTGGTGAAACCCAGAAGGTAATCCAATGTGAGATGTCAGTTTTTGATCTGTGGTGGGTGAAGTCTCACCGGTCCGAATTCCTGTTACGACTATTTACTGGGGCCCGGTCCTAGGAATTTCGTTGACTCTTCTAGATCAAGGATAGATGACGTACTGTTGAGCAGGCAGAGAAGGGGGATAATTAAATTGTGCGCAAGAAGGGGAAAAAATCTTCGGGCGGTTCACGGCTATTCGTTTTAGTCCCGCAAAACCTTCGGGCGGTTCGAAGCTGTTCGTTTTAGTTGTGCCAAACTTTCATATTTTTTCCATCCTTGTTCCCAAAAATTTAAAACTATTGCAAAAGGTCGGTTAGTCCCCACGGTCAGACTGTCCGCGGTTATGATTTCATCAAATAGAAAACAGATGTTCTATACTTTGTTCCTCTTCTAGCTGTTGAGTTGTACATCGAGATGTTGATAGCCTAAAGTTTTACTGGTTTTGATGCCGAGAAAATTTAAAATTTTATTACTTTAGTTTCTTAGTTATATATGAAAATTGATCCATATAAATTATATATACATGTATGTATGTGTGTTTTATGTATATAATTAAATGAAAGTGTTGCTATGTTAAAATACCTGAGATTTTGCTGTTCTTTTAGCTGCTACGTTCTGCGGCCTGAAGTTCCAAAGTTATGTTTCAGGTATGAGAAGTATCATGTTTCTTTTGGAGGTGATATTAAAGAGAGAGAGGCTAACTACACCGATATGGTGAGGACCTAGAAATACTCGTATTTAGCAATCAATATTTTGAAGTTTTTATTTCCTATATCTTCCGCTAACATTTGTGTCAGCTGAATGCTATAAGCTATGTCAGACGTTATCTGATTATAGAGTGCACTTTGAGAAATATATAAATATATCTAAAGGATTAGAGTCATACCTTTCTTTACTCAAGTTGGCTAACTGTTGATGAATATTTTTGAGATTCCCTTGCTAGTTTTGTCACGTAGTACCTAATTATCTTAATCACATTGGCAAGCTGAATTACCATTAAGGTTTATCGACATCTCTAATAGGTTAAACTTCTGGGTTTACATTTTAGTATTAAGTTTTTTTCCCTTAATATTGTTCTATTATGTTTTATGTTTCTGCGATTCTAAACTAAGATCTCTATGTGTCTTACAGGTTAATAAATATTACGATCTTGTTACCAGCTTTTATGAATTTGGCTGGGGGGAATCCTTCCACTTTGCACCCAGGTGTCCATTTGCTTCATTCTTGGACAGATTGTGCAATTTAACTTTTTGTTACTCATTCATATGCTACCCTTTTGGTTATCAAGATGGAATGGAGAATCACTCCAAGAAAGCATCAAGCGTCATGAGCACTTTCTTGCTTTACAACTTGGCTTGAAGCCTGGACAGAAGGTGTTTATATTCATTACTTGCATATGATTTCCTGTTTTTGTGTTAGACTTGGGTATTGTTTCTGATATCTTTAAGGTGACTCGTGAAATGCTTAAAGATGTAACACTAAGCTGTAAAAGCACTCACTCGTTTGCGAAAATCCCCATTTATCATATTATCGTTGAATAACTTTATGGCAAAAATACAAATACTAAGCCTAATTTTATTGTACATTTTTCATTAAAAAATAACCTAAAAGCCTTTATTTTGGTGTTTCAGGTTTTGGATGTCGGATGTGGAATAGGGGGACCTTTGAGAGAAATTTCTCGATTCAGGTTTCTGGAACTTCCTGTATTTTTTAATTTGACAGTTATTGCATATTCAGTTATCTTGATTGGGTTCCACTCCGTGATTCTCTACTCTGGTCAGCTTGTTTTTCAGGGGCAACGGGATTATATTCAATGGACTCTATTAAATTGTTTCATATTTATAGGAAAAGAATATATGATGAAGAAACTCTAGTCATAGGGATATCTTACATTAATGGGGGAGGTGTGAATGTCTAATAATCTAAATGAACGGGAATTTTACTCTGTACTGCTTAATTTGTCTTACTTCCCTTTTTGTGAGTGAAATCAGAGTCACATTCCTTTCTCTGTTTGTACAGCATGACATCAGTTACAGGATTGAACAACAATGAGTACCAAATAACCAGAGGAAAGGTATACAATCCAATTTTGATCCTTTTGCTGTACCCCTGAATCTAATTTTTTTAACTTGTTATAAATTATGGACATTGGTTTATTATGTTGTGCTGTCTCCCATGTTGCAGTTAAAATTGATTTACTTATAAAGCATTAAGCATATATTCATGACAACCTTATGGTACTTGTTTGACAATGTGATATTCCTTGTTCATAAAGAATTATGCATATTTCCATATTCTGTGGTCTATAGATGATTATACTTAATAATAAATCTTAGAATATACCTTCTAAAATCATTGTCTAACAGGAACTGAATCGCCGAGCTGGAGTGAATAAGACCTGCAATTTTGTCAAGGTTGATGTTTCAAAAAATCAACTCCTATATTCCAGTCAATTGTGCTAAATTGGGCACCTTATTATACTGATACATTTTGATAATGCAGGCCGACTTCATGAAAATGCCGTTCCCAGACAGTTCTTTTGATGCTATATATGCAATTGAAGCTACTTGCCATGCTCCGGACGCTGTATGTGGCGGTTAATCATACTCAACACACTTTCATGTTTTGAGTCCTTTCTTTTGTTTTTATTTTAACACTCTCGTCTCTCTTTTCCTGATATGGTTAGTATGGATGTTATAAAGAGATCTATAGAGTGTTGAAGCCTGGCCAATGTTTTGCTGCGTACGAGTGGTGCATGACTGATGCCTTTGATCCCAGTAACCCAGAACACCAAAAAATAAAGGTATGTTACTGGAGGGTTGAAAGGATTTTATCCGACGTTACTTATTCATTCTCTGGGTTTTAAATTCTGAAAACAAAACTCATTAGTACAGGCGGAAATTGAGCTTGGTGATGGGCTTCCCGACATTAGATTGGCCTCAAAGTGCCTTGAAGCTCTAAAGCAAGCAGGGTTTGAGGTGAACACCAACCTATTATAGACTTTATTTTCTGAACTTCTATAAAATGAACAACCAAGTTGGCTGAGTGGGATGTTCATTCCTTTTTCAAAACAAAGGTCATCTGGGAGAAAGATCTTGCAGTGGATTCTCCTATTCCTTGGTACTTGCCTTTAGATACAAGTCACTTCTCACTGAGTAGCTTCCGTCTGACATCAGTCGGCCGACTTTTCACTAGAAACATGGTAATGCTACTGATCACCGTGGCTTAATTTATTTTCGTATGGGTATCTTTTCTGTATGTGACTCTTTGCTAAGTGTTATTCTATAGAATGTCCGCATGTTACTGGAAGTTATAAGATACATATATTCTCTCTGAGTCATTTAAGCACGTTAGCTCTGTTACTTACCCTATTGGTTTAGTTTGTCTATCTTTTATCGCCCAGAGCTACCTGAATATCTATCTGCTATGCTCATATTCAAAATCTTTATATTGGTTGATTGGCTTTGAATTTATCTTCGTAGGTCAAGACACTGGAGTATATTGGACTAGCACCAAAGGGAAGCCTCAGGGTTCAACAGTTTCTGGAAAAGGCTGCAGAGGGACTTGTTGAGGGTGGAAGGTAAGTGTTTCTTTTTAATCCAAGGGTGATATTTCTGAAACACTATTAATTTAGACTGCGTTTGATGCATAAAAGATGCATTTGATGAAAGAAAAAGGATGAGGGAAAGTATTCTTTTGCTTTTCTTGAAACGAGAGCTTCCCATGCTTCCCATCCTTGTAGAAAGGAGCTTTCCTTTTCCGATTCTCTTTTCCATTCACATTTTATGCTAAACGTGCCCGTAATGGATTCTTTTAAATGAGTTGGAATTGAGCTAAGAAATATTTTGAGCTGAAGTGATCATGCTGCACTTAGCCACATGTTCTGCTTTTCATCAGGCCTTAGAATTTAAATTCTCAGGTACATAGGTCAATTGACATGGATTCTTTTAAATGAGTTGGAATTGAGCTAAGAAATATTTGAGCTGAAGTGATCATGCTGCACTTAGCCACATGTTCTGCTTTTCATCAGGCCTTAGAATTTAAATTCTCAGGTACATAGGTCAATTGACATGGATTCTCTAATTCTAAAATACAGAAGCACATTCTGCAATATCGAAAAACAGCGGGACGGCTTCTGTATTATTATTTTGAACAAAGCTTATACCATTCAGATTTTGATATGGATGGTTTTCTTCCCCCCTTTTAGAAATTTTAATATTTAGATTATAAAAGATGCAGAATATGGATTGAAAACAATAGTCTAGTATGTCATAACATCGTGGAATTCTTTCTGATTTTCATCCCCTTTGCCCAGAACGGAATTTTATTATTTGATGGCATGATCAACTTGAATGTGTCTTTTTTCTTTTTTCTCAGGAAAGAGATTTTTACGCCAATGTATTTCTTCCTGGCACGGAAGCCTCTTTCAGACAATTGATGCTGCAGTGAGCCAGTGAAGAGGAATAGTGACTCTAGCAGGTAGAGATGTGAGTAGAATATCATAATAATAGTCTCTGCTCCCAATTGTTCATGTTGTTTGCAGTCTCTTTGCATTGTTTAGGCTTGGTTACCAGCTCGCTCTCTGTCTTTTTATTCTTCAGCATTCTGTGAACCTCCTGATTTAGATACCACCTTCAAACCCTCAGCGATTTTACCGTTTGTGTCAATCTCATATAGTTCCTTGTGTCCATGCTATTAAATTCTTTGATTAAAATATGATAAATATTCAATCTTTAAGCAAAAAGCTTACGTATAATCCATTGAAAAAGAGTATTTATATATCTATAACCTCTTTATTATAGTAGTATCATATCCCCCTTTTGTTTTGATTGAAATACTTGATAATACGATATAAGATATAGAATCTGGGACAACGAACTGCTGTAACAATATTCAATATGGATTAGTTAGTAGCATCATATACTTGGGAGCTTTTAAAAAAACTGTTAACTTTAACTATAATTTTAATGGCAAGAGTTATATAGTTAATGCATGAAGTATTAGGGTTTTTAATTTAGACTTTCACTCCTTATTTGAATGGGGAGAAATTTTGGATGGAAAGAAAATTAGGGGGGGGGGGGGAAAAGAAAGAGGATTGATTCCCCCCCCCCCAGGGGTTTGGATGGAAAGTGATAGATAAGTTTAATGATCCAATTTTTTTTGTAAATAATTCATATTCTTTCAATTTTATGCTTCAAAAATAGAAATTTAATTTTTAAAAGATGGCTCTTTAATTTGATCTTTAGGGTCCGATTGGTCTGAGGAAAACCAAAAACAAAACAAAGAAAGAAAAATTTTTAACGAGTTCAATTAAAAAAGTTAAAGAAGTGGGGTTAAAAGTTTGTAATTAATTTATATTACTTTTTATATTATTTTTTAATTAAAATTTTAAAATCTCATTTTTTTAACTTTTTAAATAGGGTTTATTAAAAAACTTCTCCCTTCACTTCCCTCTATTTCCATGCCTTTATTTTCCTGATACCAAACGGTGCACGGGGAAGCAAATGAATTCAATGGTTGTTAAATTTCTCCAATTTCTAAAGAAGTTTTGACTCTGGAGGAGCATCGTTTGGGGCGAAAATATAATTTATTCTTCTTGGAACACTACCCAATCCAAGTGATTTCTTATTGTAATTTCCAACCAACCCAAGGGATTCAAATGTAACGAATTTTTTGGCCAAAAAAGTATAATAATATTTTAATTTAATTAAAAAGGGCGATGTTTATGCGTTTAGCCATTTACCCTATGCTTAGTGGGGGAGAGTGGGGGAGCGTTATTTATTATTATTAACGTGGTCCCCTCACTCGATCGTACTTCCCGCCAACAACGACAGGGTGAGAAATATCTTTAATTGAAGAAAGATATTTGGAGTTTAGACTAAATTTGGACAATTTATTTTGAAACTTTATTTATATTAAAGGCAAAAACTACGCTGAGAAAAGAATAATAATTTCATGACTGAAAATGGTTTGCTAAGAACGAATTTAAATAAAATCAATATTCGTAAGATCAAATTATTAATTTGTTCATACAAAGTTTACAATTTTCTTAAATAACACCACTAAATTTATCAAATACCATGGTAGAGTGTTTGTTGATCCATTTGATCTTGATATGTTAAAATTATTAATTCTTGTTTTGAAAATTATTCATAATACTATACTATTGCTACCTTCGGATTTTAATATAAAAGTTCCTTTGAGTTTTAATTTAATTCTAGATATAAGGTTTTAATTTACTTTGTTTCTAGTATTTATTTATTCTGTCATAAAATAATCTCTATAGTGATACATATGTTAAGGAGATAATGTCAATTTGTAATTTAAATACAAACAACTAATTTAATTAATTTTTTAATCTTTTCAAATTACTCAACTAATTCTTATATTGCTTCTGATTCTCATTATAAGACCTCATTTGTAGATTACAAATAAAATCTTATAATTATGATCAGAAGTAGTATTACGGATCCAATTCTATTGGTAAAAATTCTCCACATATAATTTGTTTTATAATAAGTTTGAAACTTCAGACTCTATTTATTCTACATCCAGTTCCCCTGACTTGATTCACAATCGGTAATATCGATAACTTCACTAATTTTTGTTAAACTCTAGTGCAAATTTTTTATTCTCATGCCAAGATTTAAAAAAAAAAAAAAAGGGAATAAACATCACAACACGTAATAAATTATTAAAAGAATGTGATATGGGGCGACACCAAATGTCTCATTGGCTCTTCCAACTGCTGCGTTCAAACTTCAATGGATTCTCTGAAATCTGAACAAATCCTTTTTTATGCACTCAACGCCGAAATAAACTTTGACTGCCTTTCCAGTCGCTTTTCCCTACCACACAACTTGGCAAGTTGCCAAATTGAAAGTTGAAAGGATATTCCTCTATTATCAAATAAAAATATCTATATTAAAAATTGGAAAAATTACCCTGAATGACATGTCATTAAGAATCGATATTTACTGTGGAATACGGTAAAAAATGTAAACAAAAAAAAAATCTAATAATCTTTGCAAATTTTTTGGTAAAATTTTTTTTCATCTTTTAGAAAAAGTTTGAAATATCAGATTTTTCATTGTAGATATCTTTACTTGTAATATTCAATTATAATGTGTTTTTCATTATCCCTCTTAAATTCATATATTCATGAATTGGGAAAAAATTTCAAAAGAGCTAGTTTGTATAGAAAACCCATTTTCCGTTTTTTTTTTTAAACTCTTTTTTCATCATTTATTATCACATGCAATGAATTAATTATTTTAAAAAAAATCCTTTCTTGCTTCTCTTATGAATTAGGAATCCAACAAATGTTCAGTGGAATCCAAATCGGTTTTCAAACAAAAGCCTGTGGGGCAAATTTTTAGTACTAAGAATACTTCCCTTTTGGTTTTGGGATTGGATAACATGTATTCCAATCTTTCTTTTCAAGAAAAAGAGGGGAAAACCTCTCGATCATATTCAAACCTTTCTCTTGAGGAGGGGAAAGCCTTGTCTTAGGAATTAGGACGGTAATAAAATTGAGAGAAAAAAAATAATATCCTGTATCTTGATGTTACTTTCTTAATAGCATCCAATGCTCTAATATTATTTATGATGTATGTGACAACCGTTCTTTCAAAACCATTTTAGATTAAATCCAACAATCTATTTAAATGATCAACCATGATAGAAAAGAAGAAACTTTAAAATGTTAAAATCATTATCATGGTTAAAAGAAATAAACTTATATTACGAACCACATCGATCGTTAACTTGGGCCTTGGATTTTCAAAGTCCAGAAATATCATTCAACTGTTAGCCTAAATCAAATTTATACTTTCAAACACACGAACTAATAAAACATTTTAATATAAGTCATGGAACCCATTAGTCAAAAGTCAACACTATCAAATGAGCGTAATACGCAAAGTTTTAAATATCTCTGGCCTTCCAATGACCTCCCATATCAGATAGTAATCATTAAAAGTATTAGTTTACAGTATTAGAGTATATGGACCCTATGTGCCAATATATAACAAGTCAGCACATAAAACAAAAGCAGAGAGGTTATACAAGCTATAATAGCATACTATGTCTCCAGAGCCTTCCCTAATGTGCCACCACTTGAACTATTACCTGAAGATTATAAAAATCACGGGTTGAGACAAACGCCTCAGTAACCAACTTCCCAACTCATCATACATACTAACATGTACTCATGAGGTGTCAAGTGAGATAATTATTAAATCTCAATATATATATCAATAAAAATACAAATATGTATATTCAAATAATCTCAATCATCTAAACCCTCATTACGGGGGCTAATACACAAGCCACATAAGTCTTTCCCTCACTATAGGGGATCAATCGGACATATAGGCTTATCCCACATTTTGGGGGACGAATAAGTAGTGACAAATGTTCATTCCTTATTATAGGCATATCCCACACTTTGGGGGACGAATAAAAAAGCCACAAAGGTCTATCCCTTACTCTAGGGATGAAGAAAGAAGCCAATCAATGTGCACCAATGGCAGCCTTACCACGTGGTAGGATAGAGCTCAATCCAAAATCCAAATAACAACTAACCATTCACAACATAATAAAAATGTCTCAGTCTTTTTCCAGTATAATCCATAAAATATAAATCATATATCTTTTTCAAACTTTTCATTCACAATTTCAAAAATCTCACAAGACAATTTTCATAGCTCAAAAAATATAATTTATCTACTCGAGTTTCAAATAACAAATCATTATATCAAAACAGCAAAATACTCACAAACAACATATTAGCACATATAACAAGTGGAGAGTGGTCACCTCTCGCCAAAGCAATACTAAGGATTATCACAAGGTCAATCCTTTGTTCAACCAATAATTAATCTACACAATTAATATAACCAGATATTAATACAAATTAATTAATTAATTAAACTTCTCTATATTAGTTGAATTTCTAATTTAATTTAATCTTTATTCTAAATTCCCGCAACTCTCATAACCAAAAAATTATTAAGTATTTTAGAAACAACTTAAAATTTCTAACAACCCAAATTATTTATTTACCACCGCCAAATTATTTACCTTAATAAAAAGATTTTTCACATTTCCAAATATAAAATTATTATGTTCTAAATTTTAAAAATCTCATTTTAAGTTTAAACCTCAAAATTAAACTATCAAAAATTCAATAATACTTCAAATATTTATAAATAAATAATCTAATCAAAACTTTAATGGTATAACTACCATATCTATATATTTCCATAAATAATAAACTTTTTACCTACAATAATTATTTTAAAACCTCCAGTCACCCAATAAATAAAACTAAACCGATTAAAATCTCAATAATATGTCCAAAAATCTAAATAAATTATTTAACTTAAATTTAATCTGTAAAAATATGGTATATCCCGTAAATAACAGATTTTCAACTAAATAAATTAATTTAAATACTAAAACTAATAAATGGAGAAATCTAAACTGATTAAAATTAACAACTCATTTACTTCTAAATTTCTATAGTTATTTTTTTTGTCAAAACTCAATACTTAGATCATATAAGTCTCAAAATTTTCTCCAATCACTATAGTAATAACATAAATAGGAAGTTCAAAATATACAGAAAATATTTATAAGGAAAGTTTGATAAAAAGAAATAATTTTATGTACCTAAAATATCTTCAAAGTTTAAAGTTTACCTTCTTCCTCAC